TGAATTCATCCTAGTGCACACTGAAAATTAACAGCTGGAATGAAACTAATAATCTGTTTTTTCAAGGACTGTATTTATTTTTATTATTATTTTTAAAAATTTTGTATAATCACCAGAAAGACAGAGAGAGAGAGAGAGAGAGAGAGAGAGAGAAAAGTGAGAACGTGAAACCGAACAAGGACCGCCAATATATTTCCTAAGGTTCTTGAAATATAAGGTCCATTTACATTGTAATGGCCCAGAGTAAGAAGTATATCTTCAGACTTTTGGTTATAATAATGACCAACACGGACCAGGAATGAGGGCCATTTGACCTCTAAAACTCACTTAAAGGGAAGATGAGTTTTTCATTTCAATATGAAAGATGCTTTATGGGCTGGAAACTGCTGGTTATGAGCTCAAAGACTCTAGGCTGAATGGCTCCAGACACTTGAACAGAAATTTGATTATCTAAGGCCTCACCAATCAAGAATGCCCATGAGATGATCACGCCCTCTTGAACCAATCACTGAACTGATCATGTGCCTAGGACCGCTGCCCCTAATTTTTGTCCATAAAAACACATGTGGGGAACATCTTGGGGAGACCGGGTCTTTTCAGCTCAGCTGCCAGCTCTCTTTGCTTTGCACGTTGCAATAAAGCTGTACTTTTCTTCGTCACACCATGTGCCTATGGTTTGGTTTTATAGCACTTGGGCGAGCGAACCTGATTTGAGTTTGGAAACAAAACCAAGCCACCAGGTCTAGGACTTGAACCACAAAGGCCTTGTGGGAGTCCAGTGTCTTAGCCACCACATCATCTGCTCGCCCTGAAACCAATAATCTTTGAGAGGGCCTAGTGAATCTGGAATCAGGGTCAACTCAACAGGCAAAGAAGGACATGTGCAGTTCCAATTAAAAAAAGAAAAAAAAAAACAGAAAGAAAAAAAAAAAAAGACAAAGCACTTTACATACCATCCAGCAAATTTTCTAACAGTATTAAATGCAAGGTTTATGAGCCCTTAGGAAAGGAAATGAGACTCTAAGAAGGAGCCTCCTAGGAGAAGCTAACAATAAGTAACAGCAGAAATGATGGGGCAAGTGGGGAGCTGGTTGGGAGGGGGAATGTAAAAGACATCTGGATCTCAACGTGGCATCTGGCGAGTTCTCCCGGTATCCTTGAACATGGGATGAAAGAATGTGGGCTGACGCTCTAGTTATGAGGATGGGTCTAAGTGACGAAAATCATTAAATCGCTGAATTTATACCAAGTAGGAGAGGTCTCTTTAGTGGACTTGGAACATCGAATAAGGAGTAGATTTAAGAAAGGAAAGCTTGAAATGCCACGAGGAATAGGTGATAAAAACCTTAGGATGGCCCAGCTGCAGTGGCGTGCACTGCTGAGATGCTGTGCGAGGCAAGCTGGGATCACTTGCAAGGCCCAGGTTTGATTCTTGGTCCAGCCTAAGGGTAGAGTACAGTGGTGTGAGCCTATAATCCAAGTGACTCAGAAGGCTGAGGCAGAAGAATTGCAAACTTGAGGCTGAGGCTGATCTGGGCAAAATAATAAGATCCTGTCTGGGGGAACAAAAATACCAGGCATGGTGGTGTGTGCCTGTAGTCTTACATGGGAGGCCGAAACAGGAGAATGGCAACAAGGAGACACCATCTTTAAAACAAAGAAACAAAGCCTTTAAAACCTCTAAAAAAAAAAAAAAAAAAGGACCAAAGGGGGTCAACCCTGCAAATACTCTTTCTTTCTCTTTCCTTCCTTCCTTCCTTCTTTCTTTCCCTCCCTTTCCCTTCCTTCCTTCCTTCCTTCTTTCTCTCCCTTTCCCTTCCTTCCTTCCTCCCTTCCTTTCTTCTTTCTTTCCCTCCCTTCCCCTTCCTTCCTTTCTTCTTTCCTCCTGTCCTCCCTTTCTTCCTTCCTTCTTCCTTTCTTTCTTAGCAGTTTTTGCCTTAGGGCATGTGTACTCACTAGAGAGAGAAAGAGACACACAGATACAGTGAGTGTCTCACACATACAATGAGAGGAAAAGTGAGAAATCACCCCCCCTCCCAGGAGGAATGGCCCTTCAAGGGGGGGATGGTCACGGGGCAATTCCTTCTCCTCCATTCTCCTCCCAGGATCTTGAGCATGCACACACATGAGCCTGGAGTGATTTTCAAGCCACTAGGTCCAGGACTGGAACTATGATTGGCCATGTAGGAGTCCAGTAATGTAATAGCTACACCATCTGCTGGTCCCCTTTCTTTTCTAAAAATCATTTGCTAGAAGGTATGTATGCTTCTGTCCTTTGGGGATTTTGACAGAAAGTGGAAGAATATGGAAGATGTACTGCTGAGTGAGGCAAGCCAGGCTATGAAGGAGAGACATTGTATGTCCCCACTTAACATATGCCGAATGTCTGCATTCTGTGACTGAAACTGATTGACTAACGGTTGAACCAACACAAGAGATGGGTGTGAATGTCAGACGAGGTATATGTGGAGGAGTGGGGCCTAACGAAGGACATTTGGAGAAGGGATACGGAGGTAGAACATTGACGGGATGCGGAAGTGTGGTGTTATCTGTTAAAGATATTTTGATCAACAGGTCTGGGGAGAAATGTGCACATATCGAAATGGTCTCATGGTAAGCCAAACAATATGATTGAAAGTATATACAAAAAACAAATAATAAATAATGTGAAAAAAAAAAGTGTGTATGCTCATCTGAGAGAGTGATAGAGAGGAGGAAAAGGAAAAAGCACCCCTCATGGAGAAAGGTCACACTGCAATCCTTTCTCCTCCATTTCTCCTTTCAGGATTTGGGCATGCATGTACACCCGCCCAGCGTGTTTTTCAGCTGACGAGTCTCAGACTTGAACCACGTCGTCAGCCATATGGGATCCAGCTGCTTTAACCAACCATAACCAAATCAACATTTCCTATATGATCTCTCAAAATAAAGAACAGAGTTAAAAATGAAGATGGTTTGGGATCTTACAGAGCCAGGGGACTTACATAGTCAATGGAATGTCCAAGCAGGGGCCAGTGGCCATTTCTAAGGGAAGGGTATGACCCTTAAGATTCCATATTAGTTGCACTGTAGCAAATTATCACAACTTTGTGGTAAAAATCAGCCCCTGAAATCAAGGTACTGGCAGGGCTGCATTTCTCCAGAGACTATAAGGAAGAATCTATCTTCTTTCATTTCTCCAGATTCTAGAGACCGCCTGCATTCCTTGGTTTGTAGCCCCTTTCTCCTATCACTCCCATCTCTGCCTCACCATTGCACCTCCTTCTCTGGCCCTGAACCTCCTGTCTCCCTCTAAGGATGATAACAGAGAGCCCACCAAGAGAGTCTACCCATCTTGAGACTCTTAATCACATCTGCAAGTTCCTTTTTGCTTGTAAGGAAGCATATTCAGAGGTCCCAGGACTAGAAGATGGCTATCTCTGGGGGAGCCATTATTCTCACCACGGGTTCCAAGCCTCAGCGAGCCATTGAATTCTCTACTGGAAAGGCAGGGCTAAAAAGCCAGTGTCCTGATCAGTGGCAAGGGCCCTGAGACACCCAGTCTCCAAGCCTTAGAATCTAAACTATAAAAATAATTCTTTCAAAGCTATTAACAAAGTGGAACATGTCCGTTTTTGAGTATCGTTTAATGTTTAATGTAGTTAATTATAAACACTGAACAGATACCAATCTTTTTCAAAAACTCTCATGTTAACCCAACAATTAAATATTAACTTTTTAGTAGGCTGTAAAGTTTATTTCCTTATAAACTCCTGTTTACAGGCTTACCTAACCACTTACATAAAGCCCACATAGATTACCACTGTACCAGGTGGCTGGCAGTTTATGATTACCCCAAGGTGCTCGGAACTGGTCTAATGCTTTGGGGGAAATGCACGAACTAGTGAAAAAGTTATGACAGTAGCACAATCACCAGACCTTGTTATCATCAACTCTTTCTGTTCATATTTAATCACTATCGATTCCCCTGTCTCCAAACTCAGCCACAGATTAAGCTTTTAAACATAGCTTTCTACATGTGGACACATATAGGGGATGGAAAAAAAGTTTGCGTGAAAATTAAAGTGTGAGTTTTAGTGCAAAAAAATTTTTTAAATCCATGCATCATTTTTTCATATTATGCATTTTCCAGTAAAATTTTGAGGCCCCTTCATATATTATATTTTTAAAAAATAATTGCCAGAGAACTTGTGCACTCACTAGAGAAAGAAAGAGAGAGAGAAAAAGCACCCCACAATGGAACATAATTATGCCACAATCCCTTGTCCTCTAATTCCTGTTAGGATCTGAAGTACCCATGCACACATATCAGGTGTGTTCTCACACCACAGGAGCCAGGATTCAAACCATGGTCAGCCACAGGGCACTTGGGCTCCCTTAACCACTAGGCTACTGGGCTGGCCTGAAAACTATTCAGATTCCTATTTTCTTTGAAATTTAGCTCCAAATGTGAAGTTTTTTACTCTATGAATTTAGAAAATAATGTTTTTCCTATGTTTCAAGTTCAGAAAGACTACCTGTCTCTCAAGGAACTATGCCAATTAAGTCAAAGGTATTATGGGTAACATTCATAAATAACACTTTTATCAAAAGTTTCAACCTTTTAACCTTCTCATATATTAAACTTTTTTTTTTTAAACAGAGCATAGAAGACTGAACAGAAAGAGCTGAGGACAGCAAAATAATAAAAGAAAGAGTAACTAGATGGGAGAGTAATTCCTCCGTAAGACCGTAGACTGTACAAGGAGGACTAAATCTTATTCACTGGGGTCTCCCTAACATCAATACAGCATCTGACAGATAGAGAGTGTTTAAACACAAAGAAATATGAAATTTAGATAACAGGACAAGGTGGTACTTGTTTTCTACCATAATCCTAGTACCTGGCCCAGTAACTAGCACCTGGTGAGCCCTTAAAGAGATCGTTAAACAATGCACCCTTTTATTAGCTAGAATCCACGGGACACCACAGCAGCAGATAAACAGGAAGCTGATCTTACTTTACTATCTTTGTCTGGTTTGGTTGCTGAACTGTTCCCACAAGCCAATGAAGCACTGTCAGGAGATGTGGGCAGTCCAGGGAGAATGGTCACTGTCCGGCCACTGGGTTCAGTTTCCAGAGAGGCAGCGGTGATACTTGGGGAGGTCAGCGAAGCAGCTGCAGCACAGCCCAGGGGAGTGTTTGCTCGACCAATATTGACAGCAGCAACGTGGGCGGCAGGGCCTGCCATTGGAGGTGGAGGTTGTGGTGAGGCAAATGAAGGAGGGGCCGGCCCCCCAGCCGCAGGGCTGAGACAGGCGGCGTTCTGGACCTGGATGGGTGTCACTGCAGCTGTGGGGCGTTCTTGGTTGTGTGCTGTAACTAGTAGAGGGAAGAGAACGTCAACTTTCTCATAAATTCTACTCGCCAAAACACAAAAGTCATTTTACTGCATCGTACAATAACAAAAGGTTGCTACTGCATTTATCACAACAAGGAATGGATGTAGGGTGGCTTAAAAGCACTTCATCTTAGCTGGGGTCCTAGACAGAATTTTCCTTCCAGGTCAGCCCTTGATTCTACAGTTGAGTGCTTGGGAGCTTAGCCACAACCTGAAGGCCATTTAGCTATAAAGAAAGCTTTTCCATGGCATTCGAGACAAAGAGCCAGTTTGTGATGGTACTCAAAGGTCAGTCCACATTGGCCTCTGGTCCTTT